CGGCGGGCCCTGGAAGTGGAGCTGTAGCGCTCGGAACTTGCCACCTCGAAAATGGGCAGCGCCTCCTCCCGCACCCCCCTCCCCCTCCTCCTGCTCCTCCTCATCATCGGCCCCGAAGCCCGCCCCCGTCCTCCTGTTGGCCCTCCTGATCATCGCTGCTGCCCCTCGTCCGAAGGGCAAGGGATTGCCGCGTGAAAGGGGAGGGGCGCGAACAAACGCACGTCCAGAAACCCGCTTGGAGGGGCGCAAGAAAACGCGCGATGATATGACCGCCGACGAATCACAAAAGCGCAGCCTGCCAATGACCCCATGTAAAGAAAACGAGCCCCTGGGCCTACAGCTCCACGTGAGAGTACCCAGGGCCTCGCATCCCTCTACCTCGCTACCCATGCGAGGCTCGCAAAATCAACAAGCAAAAAGAGGCACGTCCAAACCCCTGGACGGTGCGTTCGAAACTGCCTGGGCCACTCCGAAGCGGGCCCCGAGCCGCCCGCGGCCCTCGGGCGCGCCCGAAAGAGAGGGCAGCCCGCAGAACCTGAAACCTACATCTGGGGCGGGGCGCGAAGCGGCGCCACGCCCCTCGTGCGCTTCGTGAGCAGCACCATTTTCTCATTCACCTGGATCTCTGACTTCTTGGCCTCCGCCTTGTTCGCGTCCAGCCACTTCGAGGCCTTCGCCTTGGCGTCCTTCGCGGTCTCCACCTTGAGCTTCGCGCCCTTGGCGTCCGCGATGAGCTTCGCCATGGTCACCCTGTTCCCCCCCATGATCATGATGTGGGCCGACCCCTCGGAGTAGTTGTCGATGATCGGCTTCCCTAGCGCCGCGGGGGGGGGGGGATGGGCAGTCAAAAGCACGACCGCGAGCCGACGTCATGCAATTAGGGGCGAAACTGGATGGAGGAGGAGTCCCGAGGGCAGCTGAAAAGGGGGGCCGCGCGCCGTCCGAGCAAGGGGGGAGGATGACGGAAAGCCAAACAGCATGGCGAAGTGAACGGAGAAGATGAGAGAGACATGGGATGGGGTCGGCACAAACTGGAGGAGGCATCATAGAGAAAGACGGAATGGCAAGACATGCAGACCAGTGGCCTGTCGGGAACTTCTCCTTCAGCTGCGTCACCTCATTCGTCGCGAGGTTCGCGAGGTCGTCCTGCGGACGCGGGCGGAGGGGCGTCGGCGACGGGGCGGCGGGCTGAACGACGGCGACGCGTTGGGCCAATGGGCTGACCTCGAAAGTTCGCGACGGCAACGACGACTTCGACCAAAACGACAGCGCGACTTCGACGGCGACGACAACGAAGACAACGACGAGCGAAGGGAACGAAACGACGCCTGAATGACGAGACGCGATGTGCCCCACGACCCTATACACCCATCTCTATCGTCGCATTCCTAGCCCCGCCTGCCCCCTTCCCCCCCCTCGCCCGCCCTGGCACCTCCTGAGATCTTCCCATCGCCGCCCGTCGCACCCCACCCAGCCCCCTGCCTTCGCGCGAGCGCTCAGGGGGAGGGCAAGAAAAGAGGAAGAGAGGGGGGGAAAAAGGGGGGCGAGGGGAGGGGCGGGCAAGACGTTTCGGGGCGCTGCGCAGCGGCGGCGGTCCGTCTCGGGAGCGTCGCCCTCGGAAGAACCAGCAGGCTGGCGAACCTCATAGACACAATGGGGCGGCTCGAAGACGATCTGGCCGCCCTTGAACGCCGACGCGAAGAACCCCCCCGACTTATTGAGGAGGCCGCGGTCCGTGAGGACCTGGATCAGAAACTTGGCCAGCACGTCCTTCACCAGCATGTCCCCGCCGAGGGGCCAGGTCGGCGGGAGCCCTGGGCAGCGGATGAGGGGGAAAGAGTGGGGTGAAGGGGGCGTTCGGAGGAGGCCGTCGCCGCGGGGCCCCCATCGCCCTCGCTTTCCTCGCCCTCCTCGTCCAGGCCCCCGCCGTCATCGTCGCAGTCCGCGCCGCGTTATCTCATGTCTCACTCTGCCTCCTCCTCCTCCTCCCTCGTACCCTGGGACTGATGGGGGGGCGGCCCAGTTCGAAGCATCTGAAGCCGAAACGGGCGCCCAAGACAAGGCTACCGTGAAATCTGAGAGGGGGCAGCCCCTGGCCCAGAAGAGCGAACCCCGACGAACGCACCCCTATTCGAATCCCCCCCCGCCCGACGGTCCACTTGCGCCAAATGCACTGCGCAGCTGCCCCGATCGAGCTCGGGCGAGCGACCCGCGAGAACGCGACCGCTCCGGCCAACGACGCAAGAATGGCGGACTGCAGATCTGGCGAGGAAGAGGGTGAGAATCGGGAAAGTCACGAGGCGATCGCAAGAGAGACGACGAGCAGGGGGGCAGGTAAACCCTGAGCGCGACGACCCGCCACGCCAACTACTTGACCCCTTATTGGGGGGAAGTCGGGGCATTCGTCTTCGACGATTCGATTCAGCCAGCGATCTCACCATCGAGACCATCATCGATCAGACGACCGATCTCACTATCGAACTCGCTATCGATCTCACTCGATCGACCTCACGAACGATCTCACTACCGATCGCACTATCGATCTCACTACTGATCTCACCCTCTCGATCTCGCACTATCGATCTCACAATCGATATCGCTATCGATCTCCATTTAGATCTCGCCATCGTTTTCACTGTTGATTCCACTACCGAACACATTATAGATCTAAATATCGATCGCACTATCGAACCTGCTATCGACGTCACTCGATCGATATCACTGTGCATCTCACTACCGATCTCGCTGTCGACCCCACTATCGGTCGCACGATCGATCTTACTCTCGACCTCGCTATCGGTCTCACCACCGATCTCACTACCGTCTCGCCGAAGACGGCCGACGACTGCGACGGCGCCGATCGCGACGGCGACGAGTACGACGACAACGACGGACGATGACGGAAGACGACGACGGCGAGGACGACGACGACCACGACGACCACAGAAAGGCGACAGCGGGCGACGACGACGACGACGACGACGATGCCCTGCTCTCCCCGCCTCCCTCCAGCACTCCTCATCCTCCATCGCTCCATCAGTGCCCCACTACTCCTCCACCCCCATCCTCCACTCCCCCCATCCTGACCCCCCGCCCTCCCGCGCCGCTCGCGACAAAGCTGCCTGTCAGGTAGTGCACAACCTGCGGCGTCTTGGGGGCGCCGCGGCCGCACAAGTAGGTGACGACGTCATCATTGATCTTGTGGTTCGCCACCTGCGAGAGCAGGCTGAACAGCCAGGCGCTCGGCACCTGGCGAAGGTATTTCACTTTTTCAGCGTCGAACTTGGGCTCCTCACTCATCTTGAGCGCTCTGGCGCTCGAAGTGCGAGCCTTCTTGGAAGGGTTCGCCTGGAGTTCGAGGACGTCGAACGGCTTGGCCGCTAAACACTCGATAGTCTCAATCTTGGCCGTCTCCTGGCTCGGCCGCGGGGGCCGGCTGGGAGACGGGCCCGAATGGGGGGGGGGGCAAGGCCGACGACGACAACCGCATCGATCGCGACGACGACGACGACGGCCACGACGAACGAATGCGGACGCCTGACGACGACGACGACGACGACGACGACGGCGGAGACCGCGCCGACCACGACGAGGACGGCGACGGGGGGCGACGACGACGACGACGACAGCGAGGCCCACGTGCTCCATCCATCCCACCCCATTCCCCTCCACCCCACTCCCCTTCCACCCCGCTCCATCCCGACTCATCCCACTCAATTTCCCACCACTGCCTACAACCTGGCAGCCCCTCCAGCCACCTCCATCCCCCATGCCACTCCAATCCCTTCCATCCCCCCTCCTGACCCCCATCCACTCAGCATCTCGACCCTCCCCGCGAAAAAAAAGCGGTCCGCGCACAGCAGGCGCGCGATGTTGGCGACGCGGCGCATGCGCGCCGAGAGGACCTGCGTGGGCACGTCCTGCGCCACTGGCTCCTATCGGCGGCGGGAAGGGGGGGGGCGGAGGCCACGTCCTCGTCGTCATCGTCGTCGTCGTGGCCCTCGTCCTCGTCATCACCTCAAGCTTCGCCATCGCCCTCGTCCTGCTCCATCGTCGGCATCATCCCCATCATCTCATTCCTCATCCCAGCCCCAACCCCAAATTAGAAAAAGGAGCTCCTTGTTCTCCAGGATCATGCAGAGCATCTTGATGTCCTTCGGCACCCGCTGCTTCGAGGCCGCCATCGATGGCAGCCGAGCCCCGCGAAGGAGGCGACGGGGCACGGAAAGGGGGCGAGGAGGGCCACCGCTGGGCCCGAACGCCAGCGGCGTGAAGGGGGGGAGAGGCAGGGGGATGGGGAGAGGGAAACGGATGGGCCATGGGGGCTCCAGGAAAGAAGGGGGTAGGAGGAGGTAGGATGAGGTAGGTGGTAGGAAGAAGAAGGGTGTGACAAGACAGGAGGGGGAGGTGCGAGGAAGGTCGGAGGAGGCAGGAGGGAGGGTGGAGGAAGGAGAGGGGTGGGCGGGGGAAAAGGGAACGAGCCTCCGCAGCACGGAGACAGGGAGGGGGGGGCAGGGGGAGGATGGGCAGCGGAAAGGGCAACCTCACCTGGAGCTGGCGCGCCGTCCACCTCAGATGGTTAGGCCCCGCCCCCTGCAGCGCAGTCAGACCGACTCCCCGAAGAGAGCCGATGACCGCGCGAAACCAGGGGAAGGGGCCTAACCAAGAGGTGGACGGCACACTGCCCCAAGCGCGGTTGCCCGCACTCCCGACTTCGCACCGACGCTGCTCATCGCCCCTATCGCTTGTGCCCAACTATCCTCCCTCATCCTTCTCCCACTTATCCTTTTACCATGCGCCCCCTCCTCCCTCCACCCTTCTCCTCCTTCCTTCTCCTTCCTCCGACCCCTCTCCCTATCCCTGCTCCCCCTTCCTCCGCCCCCTAACGGCGTCCATCTAAAACGAAAACCCCTTGGCCCCGAAACCCCCCCCCCCCTGGTGAGGGCGGGGGTGGGGGTGTGTGGTCGCGTAATGATCAATATCTGTAACTTCGCGTACTCCTGATGTCGCATCTTCTGTGCTTTGGCCGTGACATCCGCATCTTTCTGTTGCCTCTCAATTTTCTTCAGGAGCTGCTTCTCCTCGTCCGTCCTGCTGCTCCGAGTCCTGCGGCTTCGAGGGGAAGCTCTGCCTCTGTCTCCACCTTCACGGCCCGCCTCGCCGTCGTCCTCGAGCAGGATGCCATCCACGGACGCCAGGGATCGTCGGTCTGGCATGCCGTGGCAGGGGTCGCAGATGTGGCGGCGTGCCCGAGGAAGCGGCGCCTCGGCGTCCTCCTCGAGGCCGTCGTCGCGCTTGTGCGCGGCGAGCGGGCGCGCGACCCACTCGGCGGCGGCGCTGGCCAGGCAAGCTGCCCCTCCGTTGCTGCGGCCCCGACGTCGGCGGCCACCGCGGCCCCTGATCAATGCGCCGAGCAGGCCCATCGCGCCCCGCGTGCTTCCTCAGGGCGCGCGGCGTGGCTAGGTAAGTGATCTTACCCCTTGAGCCAAAATGGCTACGGAAGCAGGAGGAGGAGGAGGAGGAGGAGGTGGAGGTAAATACAACAATAGTTCCAATGTTGCCCTCCTGTGAGGTGTAACTGTTGAAGCCGTGCCGCCTGCCACATCATACCGTCGGCACGCCGGCACGGCCACGATCCATCGTGAATGAAGCTGCGTCCGCGCTCCCAAGGCCACGATCCTGCGTAAGTTATGTTGCGTCCGCTCTCCTGGGCCACGATCCCTCATACACTACGCTGCGTCCGCGCTCCCAAGGCCGCGCTCCCTAAACAAAAAACGCCGCGTCCGCGCTCCCGGGGGCCCCCTATCATCGCTGGCGTGCACGATAATACGCCTGTAAGAATGCCAACCACCATCCAGCCCCGTCCCAGAGCGAACAGACCGAAGCCTGGAGTATTGTAGCAAGCAGGGTTGTAATCGGCACAATAGTTCTGCATTTGCCGTCGCCATGTAGCGCTTTTCGGATAGCGACGATAAAAGAAACCATGAATGCGTAGCAGCCCGTGTAGCAATGTTGGTTGAAACATGTCTCCCAAACCCATCCGATCGACTTGTACCAGCCGACGCCCCACCGCTTGGGCGATCCATGCTATTAGGACGAGATGTGGCGTCAGTGGTGAAAGGTAAGTTGAAATGGAATGTGACGGTGGAGAGATAGGTGAGGGGGGGCGCGCGCGGAGCTCAAGGAACATACGTCTGTGTCTACAGCAGACAACACGCTGCTCTTCTTAACACTCCACACCGCTACAAAAGTGCGCAAAACCACTGTCAAATACACCGACACTTCCCCTGAAATCAACTTTTCTTCAACGCGGGCCGTTTTTGAACGTTCCCGGGGCCTGGGACGGGCCTCAAGAAGCCGAAAGAAATACAAACAAATGTTTAAAACGACGAACCGGTAAATCGGATCCGTGCCCGTAATAAATTTCAAACGATGTTCGTAAATATTTAAGTTGTATTTATCATTATTGAACCCGTGTTTTTAGTTATTGAAAGCAATGCTGATAATTATTGAAACCCCTTTTCGTGGCTATTGAAACCAATGTTCGTGGTGATTGAAATTCATGTTAGTAGCTATTGAAACGAATGTTCATAGATATTGAAGCCACTACTCAATTATTGAAACCCTGATTCAATTATTGAATCCGTTGCTACTGTCGAACTGATGGAACCAACAGAAGTGTAGTCGGAGGTGGTATTGCCCTAGCTGGTGCCGGTATCATGCCCGTTGTTCAGGTCGCAAGCCCAACCTAAGTGGACCCAATAATGTCGCACCCATTGGTGTTCTTGCTTTCAACGGTGTTCACCAAAACTACATTGGGATTCATATTGTCGGAAATCTGGGCAGCGAACGCTGGTGACGCCTTTGGCGGCGATGCCGGCGTAAGTCTCAGACCTGCCAAGGCGGAACTGGCGCTTCTTATGGTATAATAATTAACGGTGATGTCCGAATTTGAACCCATGCATCGGCACACTTACCGTTACTTCTCAGCCATATGCTTAACATGCCCGTGTAATACACATTGTGCGCTGTGTGCTCCCATCCCGCAATTCCCAAATGGAATGTTACATTATACCTACCCCGCGCGCATTTTTCATAATATCGTGCGTGCCATTTGTTACGTGTCTCTGTATTCATCCGTCTGGACTGTGGCAAGACAATTGGGAACTGTCATAGCGTGGAGAAGTCGGCGTAGCAGCCTGCGGGCCAAGTCGTTCGGGTTGGGGAGGGTTGTCATTATCGTCGTCGGTTTGATTATTCATGTCGGTATGATTGGTATTGTTGGTTCCTGTTTCAAAGTCAAACTCGTCGCCACCGTCAGTAATGCGATCACCGCGGAAAACCACGCCGTCATAGGACATGCCCTGAACGTTTCGGGCCCATGTGCCAGAATCCTCCATTGAAACCAGCCGCACGTCGGAGTGCGTGCGGAGGATGCCGGGGCGCGCGGAGGAATGAATGCGGGAGCGGACAATAGCAAAAGTAGATCTTGGATTGTAGCCGACGGCGTTCGCAATAGCATGCTGTTTGCAGAATTTGCATCCCGTTCCGGCGTGCGCGTTGAAGAAGACGGCGTCGTGGCTGCGAGGACAAAAATCGAAACTTGGGGTTGGGTCGATACACCTGCGGAAAGACCTGGGTTGGGCCGAGTCGGAGCCGGAACCGGGGCGACGAAGGGGTCAGAAACTGGAGCATACTTGGGAATAGTATTACACCTGAGAAAACCCAATCAGTGGATGATTTGATAATTTACACTATGAATCTTGAGATCGATTGTGAGATCGATAATGGGATCGATAGTGGAATCGATAGTGAGGACGATTGTAAGATCGATCGTGATACCGAGGATGAAATCGATTCAATGAGATCGATCGCGAGATCGCTCATGCGATCTCTAGTGAGATCGCTTGTGAGATCGAAAGTGAGATCGATTGTGAGATCGATGGTGAGATCGAAAGAGAAAGGGGTAATGAGATCGATGGTGAGACCGATCGATAAGAAGATCGACCAACCAAAAACCTGGGAACCCGAACCTCGCCACCCTCCGAAATCAGCCCTGAACCCGGAACCGGGAACCCGAGAACCCGGGAACCCAGAACCCGGGAACCCAGCTAGCCACCAAAATCGGAGGGACACTTTCGCCAAATCCTTCAACATCCGCGAGGACCCCTTCAGTGCAAGCACTGATTGGGGAAAAATCGGAATCTGGAGTTGGGATCAACTCAGATCTCATGAGACAAGGTAAACGTGGGGAACCACAACAGTTCTTGTATGCCAAGGCAATACACAATGCGAAATGGTACCTGGCTTCAGCCCTATCGGTCTCGGGCGGAGTTGGTTGGTGCTCGGATTGGGTTTGGAGATGGGCATAGACATTACGATTGGCAATTTGGATCGGCCGATTGGAACTGCGTGCGTACAGATGAACAACCAGTACAACACGTAGCACCGCAAGACTTGAACACATTGGCGTTGATCCGGTATGTGCAGTAAAGAGGGTGTCCAACCCTACAAAAAGATGGCCAAAGAACTGGAGATAAACGATATTGGGTGGCTATACCGACTGGTGGGCCCTCTAATGCCACCGGGTGTGCACCGACCGCTGGGCATCTTCCAATGATTTCGGCTCTTTTGCCGGCATGGGACCAACATACCAACATGTAATGCGCTGCGTGGACACGTGCTTGGTAATATTCCGTAGGTAGCCCAACGAAGAACGCAGATGTACCACCCAGCCTGATATATGCCATTCCCCACGCCCGCTCAAGGAACCCTGTTGATACCGTTCAATGCCCGTGTCACACGAAAATTCAACCCACAATCGCACAGCACGAAGGCAAGAACAATATCGTGAAATGCGGTGTGAGAGGTGAGTGGAAATAAGGGGATGTAAAGGTGAGTGCAGGAGATAAAGTCAGATGTAGAGCTCTGAGCCCTGAGTCCTTGAGGGCCTTGAGCCATTGACGGCCTTGATCCAAAATTGCTTGAACCAATCTCTGAGACGGCTGGGCACAATCTCTGAAGCGGTTGCGCCTGTTTCTGAACGGGTGGGCCCAATCTCTGAAACGGCTGTGCTAATCTCTGAAACGGCTGGGCAAAATCTTTCAACTGGCTCGGCCTAATCTCTGAAACCCCTGCTCCGGTCTCTGCAAGAATTGTTCAGACTTTCTCCAAGGCCACAGAAGCGACATTCGCATGCGTCCGCGACACCCAATACAACGACTCGTGGCCCCATAAGGAGCTCCACCTAAGGCCCCAGAAACGACGTTCGCATGCGTTCGCGCCACCCAATACAGTCGGTTCGTGGCCCCACAAGGAGCTTCACCGAAGGCCCTAGAGGCGACGTTCGCATGCGTCCGCGCCACCCAATGCAACGTTCCGTGGCCCCTTAGGGGGCTCCACCGAAGGCCCCAGAAACGACGTTCACCCACGGTTCGTGGCCTCATAGGGAGCTCCACCGAACGCTCCAATGGCCGCGGCCGCATGCGTCTCCTCCATCCAATACAACGGCTCGTGGCTCCTCAGGGAGCTCCACCGAATACCCCAATGGCCGCGGCCGCATGCGTCTCCCCCACCTATTATTGCACACCCCTCACGCTTCGTAGCCTCGAAAAGGCTCCATCGAAACGGGTACCCACAACGCAGTACTTTCAACTGCGCATAGTGGGGGCCTCAGCTTGGATGATTTTCGACGCGCTCCATCGCAATGGTGTCATTCGTTTCGATAGGTATGTTGTCCACATGTCACAGATGTCTGAACACCGCTTCTCGCACGTCAAGGTGCGACAGTACACGATCGAACGATGGTTTGTGGAGCTCATCCTCCAAGATACAACAAATTAAGAATTCAATTCTGCTCAAAAACGAATCCCTGGGAATCCCAGGCCTGCTAGGCACGGGAGTCGGATTCGGAATTTTGCTGGGCCGTCCGTCTTCGGGCAAAACGTTTGGTCCGCGAGGGGCGGGTGGGAGCGGTGGCAATGTGTCAGTCGGAGGAGGGGTCTTCGTGATCGCCGTTGTCGTCAAGAGAGTGTGGGGAGGCGGATGGGGGCCGTCGTCGTTATCGTCGTCGTCGTCGTCGTCGTCGTCGACGTCGTCGTCGACGTCGTCGTCGTCGCGCAAAGCGTAGACGCCGCCCAGAAGTCGCGGAGGCGAAGGTCCCGGGGAGGGAGGTGCAGTGGCATGCTCGCTCTGATTATCGGGCACGGGCGGACGGGAGGAGTAGGGGAAAGAACAATGAACATAAACATAAAAACTCGGAGGTCCGCGCGGGTTTCTCGGATCGGCGCTTCGCTCTGATTATCGGGCACGGGCGGACGGGAGGAGTAGGGGAAAGAACAATGAACATAAACAGAAAAACTCGGAGGTCCGCGCGGGCTTCTCGGATCGGCGCCGGACCCCCCCTCCCTGGCGCGCGGAGCGCGCCGGGGGCGGGGCCGGAGGCGCTGCCAGGGGCCTCCGGCGCGGATCGGAGAAATCCGTGCGGACCTCCGAGCTTGTGTGTCTTTATGTCGTTGTTCGTTTCCCTCGGAACGCGATGTCTTTGAGTTTATGTCCATGCGTTATGCCATCGTTTTCTGTCCATATGTTATGTCATTGTTTTTTATGTCATTGTCTATGTTTTTTTGTATGTCATTTATGTCATTGTCATTGTTATGTCATTGTTTGTATGTCATTGTTTTTATGCCATTGCTCGTTTCCCTGTAATTAGGACGAGGGCCCCTCGGGAAGACGACTGTGCCGGAAGGTGGCAGGCCAGGGTGGCCCACGAGGCTCCTCTAAATCAGCAGGGCTTCCTGGGAGTCTGCGCGGCCCGGGGAGAACGCTCGTGCTCCGCCGTGCCTGGGGAGAAGGGCCCCACGAGGCCACCAAGAACGACTCCCTGGTTGGATTAGCATCCGGCGTCAGACTGCCGAGGCTTCCATCACGACCCAGACTGTTCCCGTAACAGCTCCAGATCGTGTTGTGAAAAACAGAGCAACGACAACACCGCTTTCAGCGACACGGTAAGGTTGCAGCCTAAACGATGTCAGGTAAAATGCGGACGGGGAGGCGAAGGGCAAAACCTAGAGCAAAAACGGGGAGTGAGGTTCAGCATTGAGGCGGCTGAGGTTTTGGACTGGGCAGCTGATGCCCAGGCTCGAATGGATCCTAGGGCTTTGCAGAAATCCAGTGCCCGAACATGGCGGATCATGTGGATCACAATGAGCGCCGTGACCGCGCAAAATGCTCTGGCCGCCATTCTGGTGCAAGACGGTGAAAAGTTGCTGGACGCACCAGATGGCGCCGAACCGCTGGCAACAACCAACAACATCGGCATTTGCAACAACGGAACCCGTAATTTGGAATAGCGGAGTAATCGGCAATTCGCGACAGCGGAGTCAGCAGCTTGCAGAAACGGATCGATGATGTCGATGCCGTAGTCGCCTTGCATGACTTCAGCGACGCTATGAATGGGCGACAGGATAGCAAATTCGTTTCCCTCTAGCACGAGGGGGACACGAAAAGGGCGACATACGATCTTAAACTTGCTTCTCACGTAATGAACACCCAGGCCAACCCACAGAGATCAATTTAAAATTCTGTATGCCCTTGTCGCGTGTAGCGTCACAGCACAACCATAATTGATTATCGAAACCGCGCTTCGTAGCAACATCTCTGCATATCTCTTGGGGACAATGGTAAATTGGTCGTCGAATGAACGTTGCAAATCGACACGAACTGCCCACGCCGTGTCTTCTTGTTTGGGAGGCCATGTTTCGACACTTACTTCTCATTGGCTGCCAGTCGCCTCGCCCAGGCCAGACATCGGCGCGCGAGTGGCTGTGCGGGTGCCGTACACGTCCCGATGCGCTGGGGGATCGTATGGTTCTGCCCCCTTCTCTTGCAAACCGATGATCTCACCAGCCGGGCGGAGGCGGTTTAGCGCGCTTCCTCTTCCAACCCCTCTTCTTCCTCTTCGGTTTGCCCGCCCCTCCTTCTGCCCTGGGAGCCGGCGGTTAACCGTCAACCACGTTACCGCCGGGACCCTCGTAGAGCTCTCAACACGCGAATTCGTGCATAGATTACGGGGACAGAGCTTAGTTCAAAAACTCGCAGAATGAATTTTCTCGGGTTTTATACGAAGTCAGTTCCTACAAGTGTTTTGATAGTAATGCCGCAGCTTCCCCCTGGGTCTGGACGGGGCGCCCCGCGTGCCGATTGGAGCGTTCAAGAAGGCATCGGTTAGAAGGCAAAACCATTGACCGTCTTCCAGTTTGGAGCTGAGCTTGGCGTCCAGGGGGTGGGGGGGACGACGCCAATTTAGTACCCCCCATTCTTTCATCGAGCTCCTCAAGGCTGGCCCCCACGGCTCCCATGAGTGCCCCACGAGGCCCCCAAGAGGCGCCCAGGAGGTACCAAAAGGCCCCCACGAGGTTCCCATGAGGCTCCCAGTGAGGCCCCAAGAGGCCTCAAGAGGCTCCCCCGAGGCAGCCCAAGCGCTCGAAGAGGCCCCCGGGCCTGCCAAGGGCCCCCCCCCAAGGATTCCAACAGAGAGCTCCAAGAAGCGATCAAGAGACACCCGAACAGACTCCGAGAGGCATTCAAGAGGCCTCTGACCCTTGCTCGCCCTTCTCCTCCTCCTCCTCCTCCTCCTCCTTGTCCTCCTCCTCCGCCTCCGCCTCTTCATCGTCCGCCTATTCCTCCTCCTCCTCCTCCTCCTCCTCCTCTTCCTCCTCCTGTTCCCCCTCCGCCTCTTCATCGTCCGCCTATTCCTCCTCCTCCCTCCTCCTCCTCCACCTGCCCCTCCCCCTCTTCCTCCTCCTCAGCCCTCTATTCCACCGCATGCTGCTCCACATCCCTGATCAGGGCAACTCGCCTGGGCACCATTTCTGGATGGGCTGGTGGGGTTACTTTTTCGGTCGCGGCCGGGAGCGAAGAGGCAGGCGGCGGGCAGCGTGTCCGGGCCAACGGGCAAGCCTAATTAGCTACAAGAGGCGCACTAGCCGGCCGGCCCACTCAGAAAGCAGCCGCGAGGCAGTGGGGGGACTGACGGCGGGGGGCATCCTGGGAAGCTCGAGCACATGCACTGGACAAAATGTCGAGGAATTCGATGCCTGCCATGAGGCACGGCCCGCAGAGTGACAAGACGTGTACCTGAGCAACCGAGTCCGTCATTCTGAGTGGGGGCAGGCGCGAGGCCCGAGGAGCGAGTCGCCAGGCTCCAACCGCCCTAGACGACGTGTGCTAGCCAGGGGCTGGTGGGGTTACTTTTTGGTCAGCGGCCACGAGACAAGGGTCAAGCGGCGGAGGCAACGTCCGGGCCACGGGCGAGGCTAATTGCTAAGCAGAGCGCCGGCCGGCCCACTCAGACGGCGGCTGCAGACTGGGTGACGCTGAACTGGCTGGCGAACTGCAAGCTCGGGCACGTGCACAGGACAAAATGACCAGAATTCGAGTGGCCAACGCATTCGGTGCCTGCCACAGTATGAGACGTGAACTAGGACAACCAAGTCCGTCAATCTAAGTGGGGGCCAAAGCGAGGCCGCGAGGCCGGTGGAGTGAGTCGCCGGTGGGGCGCCAGGCTCCACACGCCCTGGACGACCTGTGCTAGCTAAGGGGGCTGAGCTGCCGCGGGACGTGGTGCAACGCAACCTGCCGGAAGTTGGTGGTGGCTGGTGGGGTTACGCGCAGCGTCTAGAGTTTGTTGGATTTGAATTGCAGTGGGCAGCGTGCTGATTTTCACTTGTTTTCCGAAGTCCCGAACTTCGCCCTCCCCTGCCGGCCGAACCATGTCTGAGCAAACTTGACTTCTCCCACACACACATCCATCCTTCAGTTGGACGGGTCGACCTTCGCGGATGTGTTACGAAGGTCCCGCCGTGGATTGAGTGCAGGCTTATGCGGATGGCGGTGCGAGCACTTTAAGCCTAAGCTGGAAGACGATCTCGCTGTAGAATCCTTGCGTGATGCTGCTGGACGCCTCGCCCAAGCATTCGCTGAGGACG